GCCCTGCTTTGCTTTCCAACATCTTGATGCCCTCCGATGGAGTATACCCCTTGTCCTCTCACAATGACAGACGGCTGTCTCTTATACACATCTAGATGTGTATAAGAGACAGAGTATACCCCTTGTCCTCTCACAATGACAGACGGCAAAGCACCCCAGGCCTTCGGGGGCTGGGGTGACTCTGTTGCAATCTTCGCGCCACAAATAGTGGCCCTTTGCTTAGTCAGAAGCAGTCCACTCAGTTAATCCCCCGGGTTCTCTCCCGGCAATCAATGCTGGTGAAGTTCAGAGCCTCACAAGCCTTTTGTTCCTAGCAGCACTATTCAATTTGAGTTTTCGACCTAGAGTGGCCATGGCGGAATATTGTATGATATATTGAATACGACGCAGCTTGGTACAATTGTGTACAAAACTATACTCAGGTTTTTTATTATATCAGAGATAGGTGCTTCCATTGTAATATCGGTTTTTCCAAGACTGATAAGTGTAGACTATATTTTTATCTAAATTCCTTGTAAATGGGACGCTTAACCTGGTTTCCAACAGGTGCTGCTCCCCACCAGTAGACGGAGCCTCTGTTATAAAAAGAAAAAAAGAAAAAAAGAAGAGAGATTGTTGACAGAGTTGAAGCCCAACTATGTCTGATCTCCCTCCCCCCCTCCCCCCCTTCCCCCCTCCCTACTTTGATTACCAGTGGGGCCCTTCTTTCAGCGTGGACCATCGGATCAAGTGCCACAGGCTTTTCTAGGGGCTGAGAGGTTTGGTACCACTTTCGTCAGACATAGCGGTGGTTTAAAATGTAAATCACGCGCTCACCCGGCTTGTGTGAGAACATCAGCTGCGGCCGAATGCATCCTTTCGTCTTCTTCTCTATGCTCATGAGATTTCAGACAAAATGAAGCAAAACATGCTCCCGTTCCCTGCACCGATGATGACACTTGCCATGATCTAAGATCACTCCATACCCTGCGACTCTGTCCTAATGTACATCCATCGTTGCATGGTACTTTGGGACAGTCTTTCCCAAAGTACCGAACATCCACCGAACATCCTGGTGAGTGTTTTGGCCTGCACCACCGGGAGCTCACAACAGTCAATGATAAACTCGAAGAAGTGGAAACACACTCAAATTGACGTAAGATTAGCACAACGCATGAGGCTTTACATCTCATGGGGGACGCATCACACCGAAAGATATGATGCAATTGTCGTACAGACCAGCTGCCTATCTCAGTCCTTCCGCATCATCCACTCAGGCAAGCGGGCTATCCCTTTCTCACATAATATATACATAGCTAGCTTGTCATGTCCTACACTCCACCACTCCAGCCAGCTCTCACTACTAAGCCTCCTAACATGCAATAAGAACTTCCGGATCGCCGTCATCATCTCTGCGACTTCTCTTGGGATAGCATGAAAAGACTCCCGAGTTCCTGATGCTAGCAGAGTACCGGTTGCCTTCCCTCTAGCAGACTCAACCTTGACGCAAGAGTCATTCATACAGTGGCATATATCCTATTATGGCCGCCTCCCCCAGAGGGGCAAGCAACGGCTTTTCAAGGCGAACAGGAGGGGCAATCTCTCTTTCCACTTGGGAAAGACCAAGGGCCACACTGAACCAATCGACTTCCTTTGTGCTCCGAAAAACGGTCAACTGTCACATCTGGTGGTAATGACTTCTGTGATCACCTCATTCAGTGTGTCTCAAACATCAACACTGCCATAAGGCATTGGTCCCCACCATACTAACGCCACCACCTCCTCCTCTCCTTATGTTCTTCGTCTTCCTTACCCCCTCCTCAAATAATGGTAATGCCCAAACATGCCACAGCCATACATGCCTGTCAATGACAACCGTTGCATCAGCTTCAGCACGTGGCAAACATCAGATGTAATTCTAGTATTATTCTACCCTCTTGAATTGAAAACATCCCACAAAAATCTTCTTTGTGCCACCTCTTCCTCACCTCTAGCACCATCTTCTAAGCTTTTACTCCCTCCCTACCTCGAGCCTCACTTGTACCTAGTGAATATCAGACATTCATCAACGAGGAGTCAACATGAAGTTGACAGCAACAAGTCGAAGAATAGAGAGGGGGGACACAGGTGGAGAAAGGCGATGAAAACAAGAGACAAAATACGATGGGCGAGGAGAAGAGAGAAGGGATGGGTGGGAAGCAGGCAGAAGATGGCGGCAAGGATAGATAGGACTCCCAAAATGTGCAGTTCTGAAAGCAGTCTGCTGGAGAGAGCATTGCACTTAGTAATAGTACTTAGCACCCTTCATTAAGGTCACTGATCAGCAGGATATGCAAAGGTGTCCTCTGTCAATGCGAGCATCCACCGCAGAGCAAAATCAAACATCCGCACACCGAGATGATGATGAAGCGCATACATCACAATCTACGATGATATATGTGCGAGACCTCTCCTGTAACAGACACAAGCAGGTGCAGGTTCGCGGAATGTGGACACGTTCCAGGAATTGCTTATGCGCTTTGGAGTCTGAATGGCCTTCACCTGAGCAGCGAATTCTTTCCATCGAATTTGCCCTTCTTTGGCAGCCATTAGCAAGGGTGCAATCTTCTTTGAAGGCAGAATTGATGGACCAAGTCTGTACATCATTCGCAAACCAAGTACGATGGCAGGAAGATTGCTCCCTGAAAAGCCTGTCAGAAACACATTACTGTATGTGCACACGTACGTGTCGATCACCGCAAGCCGGGACGAATGGGAATGTAGTTTCGATAGCATATTTCTTGGCACGACATCTTCCACTCTCACCATCTTTGGGAACAAACGCCGCAGGGGAGCCAGCCTGCTCTCCCCTCCGTAAACCTCCCCTCCAGCGAGATAAAGCCGGGTGTCTTTTGAGAACCCCATTCCTGCAAGCAACAACCCCAGCTCCTCAGGCGTCAAGGGGCATGACCCCCTCACACGCAGAATCTCCGGTGGTGGCTTCGATTTGTACTTGTTCGCATATTGACCGATGGCAAGATTTACATCACGATATTTTTTGAAAAACTCCCTTTCTGCAGGCCCACCGCCGAAGTCACAGCATGAATCAGCTAGCATATCCTTCTGGAAGCGTACGTGAACAGCCACAAACTTCTCCCCATCTTTCCTTAGCTGCTGTACTGCCTGCTCGGCGATGCCCTCAAGTTTCTGATTGTACCTATCAGTTTGCAGGAAGAACAAGAAAGAAAAGCCTCAGAGAGATGTGTGTGTTTATAAAAAAAAAACACACAGACTCACTCTCTTGCATTTCACCCACAAATCATCACAAACCATTGCAAGGAAAATGAGCAAGAGCGATAGACAGAAAACACAAATTGCAATGTCATTATGTCACATTCAAGACCAGATAGTCGTGCACCAAGCAGAAGGAAACAAGCACCGAGTTACAAGCCAAATAAGAGCAATGGAATGAACTCAAATGTCAATGTCAGCCCTTCTCGCCACAATAACAATGTATCCAATGTTGCTCCCCTCTTCTGGCGCTCGGCGCCCAGCGTACAACTACTCCTATACTAGCCTACAGCTACGACACGCAACCAGGAAACACTTCAATCGAAGACCAATGTACATGACAAAGTCGTCCATGCAGACCACCATATAGTGCCATATACACATCAGGTATGTGTCCCTTCTCCCCTCTCTCCCATCACCTTCTCCTCCCACAGTGTGCCTCTTCCCTGCGGCTGAAGACCACCATCACCATCACCATCACCAGCGAGGCAAGCCTGGCTAGGGGTGCCTCGCGCCTGCTGCCCTCTTGCAGCGCCCCTCTCTCCTCCGCTAGCGCCTGTGAGCGCCCCAGCCTGCGTGCAGCAGCCCTTTATCGCCCAGTTCGGCAGCATGGTGACAAGAATGCGCAAGGGCAGAATGTCTGGCTGGGTGCTAGGCACTTTCCTATATGGAAAGTGCAGCGCCCAATGAGCTGCCTGGGCCTGGCATTCGAGTCCCAGTAGCTTGACATCGGGCCAAAGTGTCTGCACCAAGGACTGATTCAGAGAGCAGCCTGGGACCAGAACAGTTAGGTCACGCCCAACTGTGCAATGTGGCTCACGTCACTCGCTGCTTCCTGATTGGCTGAAAGGCCAGTTCCCACAAGAGCCTGGAAGGCTCTAGAGGTCTCGGTCACACAGCCTCCCGAGGGCCCAGTAACCAACTCGCGCCCAGTAACTGTCTAGCCAAAAATAGGCCGCAAAGGGAAATGCAGGCCCTGCGCCTCACCTACGTCGGCTGGTGGTCTTGCAAGGGGCTCGTTCCTCGCACCCCTACAGTGAGGCGCAGGGGTGGTCTTCCGGTGTACAGAGGGAAGACGTGGGAGTAAGTCAGGGGAGAGAGAGAAGGATGATGATGATGATGATGTGAGGGCACATACCTGGTATTGGTGATGGTCTGCATTGGGCGACATCTTCAAGTACTTCGTGGGCTGCTGACGTCAACAGTTGCATTGTCAATTAGTAGGCAGACTGTAGCTGTGTAGGAAGCCGGCTGGGCGCCGAGCGCCAAGTAGGGAGATAGGGCCTGGACACTCATGTTGGTGGTCGCGAGAGCAAGCTCTCATTGACATTGGTCTTATATTGGTGCATTTCTGCTTTCCGGACACTGTGATACAATCTGGCCTTCAATGTGATTGTGCATTCTGGACATTGTCATCTTGCTATTGCTCATTTTTCCTTGCAGCCCGTACTACCTAGAATTTCCTACAGTTACCCTAACTGCGAATAGCAGGCCCGGGCCAACCCTAGGACAGACAGGCCCTATGGGCGTAAGCTGATAGACGGTCCTATAGCCTATAGCCGGGTAGGGAGAGGCCCTAGAGGCCGGAATTGAAACGGTACCAGTGGGTCCAGTCAGTCCGGTCTAGGTCGTGTCTAGGCTAGTGTAGGTTACATATAGGATGGGGACATCGGTTCAGGGCTTTTGGCAGTTGGTACTGTGTACATCGCTGCTGTGCAACGCGTGAACTGGAAGTGGTGACAGCTTCAGCGTTGGAGATGACGACCATAGCTGGACCTGCGGAGTGTCAGCCATAGCTGGGACTGACGCTGTACTCTGACAGCACGTGGGGCTGCCAGAGGTCCGAGCTATTTGAAGTCTGCTGGAGGCGAGAGAAGTTGGTGCCCTGCTGCACCCTCTTCCGGAGTAGGGTTACAGGGTGTGTGGCGCTGCAGCCATAGCTTCAGCTTCTTCCTCAGAGATCATCTTGTCAGGAGTGGTGGCGCTGCTGCAGACTTCCACCCGGGAAGTCATCATGGCACTTCATCATCATCAGATACTGTGGCGCTGGTCTTCTTCTCCTTCCTCTGAGAGGCGCTTGGCCTCAGAGGCCTGTTTCAGGGTGGCGCTGCCTTCTGGAGGCTGTATCTGGGTGGCGCTTGATGTTTCAGGGACTCAGGGGTAGTGATAGCGGTTACTCAGGGTTGGGGAGTGAAGCGCTGCTCAATTCTGAGCAGCGCACCATAGTTCTGGGGTTATTCTTTTTTTCTTTTTTTTTCCACCGGCAAGTCAGAAGAAACATTGCATTACAGCAGAAAACTCATGCTTCCTCCCGTTTGGCCGGAGGACCCCTGAACAGCATAGATTGCTCCACCAATGGTGAAGGATTGACTGTCAGCTTGCCGTGACTCCCTCTTTCCTCTCAGACCTGAAAAAAAACAGCTCTGCCAGATAGTGCTATGTCATCTAGAAAGAGCTCGCCCATTATTTCTATATGCCTGTGCTCTCCCCCTCATTGGCCCTGCCCATAAGTCGCTGCATCCCCTAACTCATTAAGCCTTCTCCCTTCTTTTGAGGTCTACTAAACCCTAAACCCTAAACCCTGCCCCTCACTTGGAAGTATTATTAAAAACTCTCCTCCTTTGCTCTCGCCTTCCATTGGCGTAGCTCCAAATCCCGACTGTATGTCCCTGAATGTGGTGGTATGAGTCCGAAGCTTGATCCGGAGGTGCTTTGCCCAATATCTCCTGTTTCCAGTATCCGTTTCTCAAACCAGGTCTCCTTGCGCGTTGTTGAAATCCTTGCTTGTTTCTGTGTTGTACCAATCCCTCCTGATCACTCGGACTTGTCCAACCCTGCCTCCTTGCCATTTGGTAACCAATCCGTATCAAGTCTCTTCCGGATACCTGCTTGCTATGCCCTGTCTTCAGGGAACGATTGTCTCAGCTTTCACCGTCTGCTTGGCTCTTCTCCTAGAAAGAGCATGCCCACTTTTCCCAGTAATAACCCTTTCTTAAACCACCAGTACCTTCCGAGCCACCTTCTCGAACCTTTTTCTGGCAAGCTGTCGAACCTGTCTGTCTCGGGTGAAAGTAGCTGGTGAGCAGTCGAGATATAGCAGGCTACCGGTCCTTCAATGCGGGGGACTGGTACTTCTAGGGTGGTGGTTTCCCTTTTTTCCCCTTTGTCTTTCTTTTCTCTCTTTTTCCCCTGCACATTCTCTCTTTTCCCCATTGGGCGGCCAACGCTGCCAAAGGAGCCCTCAGCGCCGTGGGTGTCGGGCTGCCAATAAATGAGGATGCGCAGGGCCTTGCTAATATTCTCTGTACCTTTCCACGGACTAATAGAAGATCATATTTATTGGGACTGAAGAGCAGCACGTCCCCTGGCAGATCGCGGAGGACGAGGGGCCTTGCTGTACCAAGCACCAGATGCACAAACGACAAAAACTGTTGAATCTTTTTCTTCTTTTTTTTTCTGACCATTTCTCTATTTATGTGTTTCATAGTTGCCCCAAGGCCATGCTAACCTTCTCTGTATCTTCCGCGAAATAGGTCAAGATTCATTCCCGTTGTCCACAAGGGGACAGCAGTGCTCCAGGCAGATCGTGGAGATGAGGGGCCTCGCTATACCAAGCACCACAAGCACAAACGACAAAACCCGTTGAATCTTTTTTTTTTCTTTTTTTTCTGACCATTTCTCTATTTATGCGTTTCAAGGCCATGCTAACCTTAGCTGTATCTTCCGCAAAATAGGTCAAGATTCATTCCCGTTGTCCACAAGGGAACAACAGTGCTGTCACGCACCACATGCACAAACAACAAAAAATGTGCCACCGTATCTTTCCATTCTTTTTTTTTTTCTTTTTTTTCGGAGCATGAGACTCAGTCCACTACTCTCGAATGTGCAAAACGAGAGTGAATCTTTTCCTAGAACATGGAAAAATACACCGCCATGATTTTTGTCTTGTCGAGAGTAGTGGAGCGAGCCCCCATTTCTCGAGTTAGGTGTGTCAGTGTCGGGTGGCCACAGTTCCGAACTTGACGCCACCATCCGTGCCTTGCTGAAAGGCGGTTCGTTTTTCTTTTCCTCTTTTCCCTGTTTTCTTTTTTTTTTTTTTGCCATTTCTGTTTTCTTTTTTGTTGTTCTGGTCGTTCGTTTCTGTTTTCAAAACGGCCGACCACCAGCGCCTGTCCGAGGCCTGCCGAGACCTTCCATGAATTCAGGAGATCGTTTTTTTTTGCCTGGGCTGGGTACTGGTGGTTTAAAACCCCAAAACAAAGAAGGAAAACATGACTAGACTATATTTGCAAACGTACCCCTGCAGCAAAATCTTCCTCTGCGTCCTCAGCCCGTATTTCTGCAACCCGTATTCTTTTTAAGACTGCCCTGAGTTCTCGCTCCTCTGTTGCCACCTTCTCTTCCAACTCCCGAACCCACTTCATGAGCCTATCTTGGGCTGCAATCCTGTTTCTTCCTCCACGTACCCTTTTCTCCCTTTCAGCTCCCCTTTGTTCCTACCCCCTGAGTCCCTGTCGAACTACCCTCTTCTGTTGGAATTCAAGACGTGATTAAGCCATCCGACGTTGCCCGCTGCTGAAAGCCCCTTTCTGGCATTGAATTATGCCACTCTTTCCAGCATATACGAGCCTCCCGTATCTCTGCAATCTTGCCATTTATCAACCAATTCCTGTAGAACCTCAGTCTCTCCTTCTTTCGCTGTTCTTCGTCTTCTGTCCAGGCTTGCTTGGTCTTCCGCCATCTGCAAAGGAACTCAGCTTGTATCATCGTTCTGGTTTCTACCCACACCTTCTCCCGTGGGTTGGATTGTCCTTCAATTGTTCTGCTGCATCTCTCCTTCCATATGACCCATAGGGTCACTTTCCTGACAAGTTCAAACCAGATCCTTTCTGCCTTCCGTGCCTGATCAGGGATGTTAGTCAAGAG